TTAGGTTACTATGAATTTTGTTATACTGTTCTTACTTTGTTTGGGTTCTGGTGTAGCTCAAACAGTTTATTATATTCTGAGTCTAATAGCCTCCAACTTATATCTTAATATGATCACTCAACGAAAAATATTCTTGTTACAGGAGATAACAAACTTACATTGAATCAAAGAACTATGTATATAACACACCAAATTTTTCTGGTAAATCTAGCCGTACTTCCTGAACCTGCGCAAGGCACTAGAACTGCCCCTCGAACACTTATAAAGTTGAGCAACTTTTTGCAGTCATGTACCAGTTCTTAATCCACTTACAATGAATACTGTTTAGCTCCCTCCTAGAGTCTCACGGGTAAATTGGTCATTGGCTCCAAATTGGCATCTATTATTCCAGAGCAAATTGGATGATGATTGTGACCAAGCTTTTTAACATCCAATTTCTGCAAGTCTGGTCCTATTTGCATCCACAAATGCTTCATCACTCCCAAACCTTTTTGGATCACCTGTAAAACCATAACTTAAAACTGATTATATAGGAAAAAACCAGTGAAGAAAATATACATTCAAATAGGACTTTGGTTATATTTTTCTCAGCTTAGTTATACCACGAGATTGTATCTACATTCTGGAATGTAAAATATATCATAAACTTGGCCTGTAATATTGTCCAGTATTCACTTTCTCCTACACAACGGATATGGGTTCAATCATTTTTATCCATGCAGGTCTCTAAACAGGATAATTATATACAGTCAAACCTTGTCACAGATGATGAATGGGATACATTAGAAGATTTTATTTAAAATCCGTTGTGGCAAGATTACTAATTATAATTATAATCTTACCGCAACGGACTTTTAATATAGCAAAAATTTTAAAAATCCGTTATGACAAGAACTTAATATAAAGTTTGACTGTACAATTAAATAATTTATTTGTTTCGGGATGAAAGGTTTAAATGGAAAGCAAATTTATTTAGATAAAGAAATAGTATTTTATTAATATTAAATAATTATTTTGTAAAATTGCATGTTTCGATAATTCGGACCATCATGACCAGCTACTCGTATCCGACTTATCAAGTTTACCAATGGATTAAGATTTGTTCACAGGTTTAAAATGGAGATCTGCATTTTTTAAAAAAAATTTTTTTAGATATTTTTTTAGATATTTTTTTTGTTTTATAAAAAAGTGATACTTTTCTATATATAAAAAAATTAATTGTAACAATAATTATAGTAAAAGGAGATGGGTCGTGTTATTCGCTCACAAAGGAAAGGACCAGGAGGTATTTTCAAATCTCATACCAGACTTCGTAAAGGAGCTGCAAAGTTAAGATCGTTAGATTATGCTGAACGTAATGGATACATTAGAGGTATAGTAAAAGAAATCATTCATGATCCAGGTCGTGGTGCGCCTCTTGCAAAAGTTCAATTTCGTGATCCATATCGGTATTATACTTTATAATATCATGATCAATTAAGCAGTAATGAAAGATTAATTAATCATTTATTGTTGTAATTCTTTTTAGGTATAAACTTCGATTACAAACTTTTATTGCAACTGAAGGATTACACACAGGTCAATTTATATATTGTGGTAAAAAAGCATCATTAACAGTTGGCAATGTGTTACCATTGAATTCAATGCCAGAAGGTACAATTATAAGCAATGTTGAAGAAAAAATTGGAGATCGTGGTGCATTGGCTAGAACATCAGGGAATTATGCCACAATTATTGGTCATAATCATGATGAAGGCAAGACTCGTATCAAGTTGCCATCAGGAGCAAAAAAAGTGGTGAACTCATCTGCTCGTGCAACCATCGGTATTGTAGCAGGTGGAGGACGTATTGATAAACCAATGCTTAAAGCCGGTCGAGCCTTCCATAAATATAGAGTTAAGAGAAATAGTTGGCCTAAAACTCGTGGTGTTGCTATGAATCCTGTTGACCATCCTCATGGTGGTGGTAATCATCAACATATTGGACACGCCTCTACTGTCTCTAGAGAAAGTGTTCCTGGTCAAAAGGTAATGTGTTTGTTATGTGTGTGATAGATGACAATGTTTAATAATATTTTATAATTTAATAAAAATTAATTTTTTTTTTTTTGGCAGGTTGGTTTGATTGCAGCCAGAAGAAGTGGTTTGCTTCGTGGTACAAATAGAGTTAAGGGTGCTTAAAAAATTTTACAATTCATTGGAAATCATATTATTATTATTTTTATTTTTTTTGTTCGAATAAATTAAAATTAAATGTATATGTATAAATTTGATCATAATTGATTTTCATTACTTTACTTAAGCATAATTCCTAGTCCATTCTCGAGCTGTTTATTAATTTAATATTAAAAAAATATCAATCGTGAAATTTATTTTCATTAATAGTTCATTAGTAAGTTTACCAGTTGTAATTGCCGTTGTTCCATTTCCCTCCAATGTAGTCCGACATCCATGTCAAATGGTTGATCGGGATTTGGAGAAGATAAAAAAGTGCATTCGCAGAAATAAGCACTTACAAGCTATTAAAGTTGGTGACCATTTGTATTAAACAAAAAAATTTAAAATAAAACAAATTAATTCAAATAAAATAAATGAATGAATAAAACAAATAAAACAAATTAATTCAAATAAAACAAATAAAATAAATAGAACAAATAATATAACAAACATCAGGGTTTAAATGATCAATTTCAAATTCACAAATTTCATGAACATTATTATCTTCATTTTGACTGTTTTTTAATAAATAATGTTCTAAGTAGTTCCAATGCTCCTCTAGTTTCTTCAGGAAGCACAGATTCCCTATTTCCTTCAATCTTTGAAAACTGACCTAAGATAAAAACATATAATTTAATATAAATTATTTTATTGGCAGCTTCAATAAAAATCATTGCTATATTCACCTTTGAAAGATCTTGTGTAAATATGGGAACCACAATTAGCTGCAACTCAATTTTCACATGCCACAACTGTAACTGCAATTAGTTGCAATTAATTGAGGAACCATCTTTAATCTTGTAATAATAAATTTGCATTCTTATCAATATTCATCCATGTTTCTGATTCTTTCCCAAGTTCAAGGGAACTTGAAATATTTGTTGAAAATCCTTAAAGTCAGATTCTGTGAGGAATTTCTGATGATCCTTCCCAATAAGACTCATTTATTATTGTCACTATATTGTACTTATTTTTATTTTTTTAAAGTTAGATGCAATTATTTGACTTATTAAAAAGAAAAAACTAACACTTACTTTGGTTCATCCATCTTTTTAGATTGTTCTAATAAAATATGTTTGTTCCAATAAGAAATCGTTTTTGTTAACCATATTGGCATTTCAGAGTCATTATCAAAATGAGGGTCCTTGAAGGAAAATAACAGAAATAACAGGTAAAGTATATATATAAATTAACCAAAGATTTATAATTTCATTGATCAAATATCACAATTGTTAGCTGAAATTGCTTCTTTTAATACTAACAAAATAAATGATCATTATCAAATCGAAGTGATAAAATGGCTTTCCATGATAACCAAATTATGAGCTCTTTAACTCAATAACCAAATGATGGGCAGTTTTTTTATGATCATTATTACCAAGAATCCTGAAAAGTCAAAACAATCACTGGATTACTTTTTTCCCAAAATCAGCTAACAACTGTGATTATTATCAAAAAAAACAAGCTCTACAATTAATTTTATCTGCTAAAGGATTACCTTATTGGTGGTAAGTATTTCGTTGTTTTTGTTTTTTTTTGTTTTTTTTGGATTTAATTCTAAGGATTAAACATAAATGATTTAAAGTTCAAAAAATGTAAATTAATTAATCAAACTAAAGTAATGACCATTCTTTAATAACTAACCAGAGTGACAACAAGTGACAATAACCACCATTCTTATGATAAACATTTACTCATGACAACAGCACCATGTTCATCTTTTTGTTTTCTCTTGTTTTGTCTTTTTTGTTGAGGCATGTTTTTAAAAAAGAATTTGTTATTTGATTGATGCGTACACATTAACTATTTATTTATTGGCACTTGGTGTTGCACAAAGATTTGGAAAATCAATCTTATAATTTTCGTCATTATCCATTTTAGTAGTCAGACAAAACTTTTTAACTGAAATTTTAATGTCAGTTCAAGTTGACATCATTAAATTTGATAAAAGATCTGTTTCATAAATTTAGAATACACAAAACTTTGATTGAATGATAATTATGATAAAATATAATATTATAAAAATTATTTGTTGTAGATGGATGATATTTAACTGTTCAATTTACATTTTTTAAATTCTTATTCCACATAAAGCAAACAGTGATAATATATTATAGGTATGGAGTAGCAAGAGAATGCAATGTTTAAATATGTTGATGTTATTATTTTAATACAAAAACATCAATGACAAGTAATTATTACTAGAAAATTTCATATCAAAAAATAGTATATTAAATAGTTTTATATATGATTGATTAAAAAAAACCATTCAGTAAATGAATCTCCGAATTAAAATATGTATGTTATATTGATATTGATATTGATATTTAATATACACAGAGTTCCTCGGATTTTTTTTTTACGTGACTCTTCCCCCAAAAAAATAGTCAAGATAAATCTTTCTCCATCCATCCATTGTTCGATATTACTAATAAATAAAACAACATAGTACAAATAAAAAGCATAACAGTAACGCTAATAATCATATTAATGATGATGACTAACTGATAATAATTATGTCATATTTTGACTCTTTTGCTTTTCTTTCTTCGCTCTTTAAAAAAAAATATATTAATAAATAAATATTTATCAATTGTAATAATAATACTAGTAATAAAAGTGTGTCGCATAAAATAAAGTCGGAATTATTAGGCAGGAAATAAAAGAGTTTTAAAAAAAAAAGAAGTAAATATGCACATAAACTTACTCGATAACTTGATAAATGACCAATAAAAAATAAAAATACTAATTCTAATAAATCGGAGAAAATTCAAAAGCATTATTAATATCGCACATCTATTTACTACACACCACTCTCACACTCACTTTCTCTCTCACTCTCTCTCTCTCTCTCTCTCACACATAAAAAAAATTTTTATGAGAGAGAAAAAAAAGTATTTTTTAAATTTTTTATAAAAAATAATTCATGCAAAAATAAAAAAATCAATTTTTTTTTTATTCATGATAAATGATTAATTATTTTATATATTAGTGTCTTTATCATTATACAAGAATATCTTAATCAATATATATTATTATTTATTACTAATCATCATAATAATAATAATTATAATATTAATATCAATAGCGTACGAAAGGTGATAAATTTATTCTTATATTTTATATATTTATGTTTCATGCATTTTTTATTTTATATTTTTATCTCATGAAAAACGCGTAATATAATATTATTATTCATTAATTGTTAGGTTTTTAATAAATTTCATATTTACCTTCAAAGATGATCACATCGTTTCAATTTCACCCAGATCAAACATCAAATATTAACAATGACAATAACAGCAACATTAAAAATGAAAATTCCGCAGGAATTTCAATATTAAATAATGACATGTCTTCTTCTCCTCATGATTTTCTATTAACTGATCAAGAATTAAAAGAAGCTTTGATCTCTACTACATCTTCCCCCCGCCTCCTTGTCATCTATCCCTTCATCATCATCATTATCATCATCATCCACTTCATCAATTATTTCTTCATCCACTTGCAAAATTATTAATAACCAGAATCTACAAAATAATCATTCATACGATAATCAACAAAATAACATTTTTCATCATCTTCATCGTCATTTCCCTCATCACCATCATCATCACCACCATCAACATCAACAACGACCACAACCAACATATCGACAAGTTAAAAGACGTAGAAGGTTGACGGAGGATGAAACTTTGAAATTAAATAAAATCTTTGAAACAATCCAAAAACCTGATTCAAATCTACGTACACAATTGGCAAAACAACTTAATATGTCTTCGAGAGCAATTCAAGTTTGGTTCCAGAATCGTAGAGCTAAACTTAAACGTGATGCAATGGAATTAAAAAGTGCAGCGGACAGTAATAGAAATTCTAAACCTAAAAAATTAACCTTGGCTGTCGATTATTGTAAAGAAAATCATCTAAATAGTGTTGATATAGTAAATAGTATCATTAGAAGTAGCAACAATATCAATAGTATTGATACAGGCGATAATATTAATGATAATCATAGTAACGAAAGTGAATTTTTTTCTTCAATTTCTCCTACTACGTCAATTGATTCCTCTCCTCCTCCACCGCCACCAATACCACTATCACCATTATCAGCAACAACAATAACAGCATTTTCTGAAATTGATAATAACAATAATAAGGATGATGATGGTATTATTATTGATGACAATGATGTCTCTGATGTTAATTTGAATTATAATAATAATAATAATGAGGAGAATGAAGAAGACGAAATTGTTTTCGCTGATGATATTAATATTGCTGACTATGATGATGATGGCGACGACGACGACGACGACGACACTGTTAATAATAATGACAATGATTTCGCCGATATTATGGATGACGTTGATGATATTTTTCGCAATAATCAAGGTTATGTTTTGGATGACGATGATATTAACAATTATTATAACCAAAATTATCATTATTTTTGCAACAACAGTAAAATTGTTTGTAGTATTATTAATGGCAGTGATAGCATTAATAATATTATAATTAGCGGCGGTAGCAATGATAATATTATTCATAATAACAACAATCATCATACATATAATAACAATCATAATAATGGAATATCATCACCAAATATTGAGCATTTGGCAATTGCTTTGACCTCCAATAATAATAATGATGATAATAATTCGGATCTTGATCGTCACCAGCAATCATTAAATTCTTCTTTGATATATCCAATTGATTTTAATGAGTTGAATTCACCGCATACACCTTCTCATATTCCACCACCATCTCATTATCCTCATGTTCACCATCCCAGTCATTTGCGACAAGAAGAATTTGGTGATAATAAAGAAACTTTCAATGACATTTCTTCTATTTCTAATAATAATCATAACAATGGTAATAATAATGTTCATGAATATTGGAATACTACTGATAATTGTTTACCAATCATAGATGAAAATGACGATGAAAGATCAATCATTACCACATCCACATCCACTACTCTCAATCCATATTACGAACAAAATTATCAAAGTAATTATTATTGTTAATTAACTTTTTTTTAGAAATTCAAAAAAAAATTTTTAATATATTTTTTTGTTTGAAGTGACCAATCCATCATTAATATTTCCACATGTTTCCGAACATTTCAATTCTTTCTTTCACTCGCTAAACAATAATCCACCAATTCAATTCATTAACATTGACAACAACAACAACAACAACAACAACAACAACAACAACAACAACAACAACAACAATAATTGTAAACAACAACAACAAGAAATTTCAATACCTCATGGTACTTTGGATCTTACAACAGCAACTGCCACTACCAATAATAGTATTAACAACTATTTCAATAATATCACAAATACGAATGAATTTTCATCTTCTATTATCGATATTGAAATTGATAATAATGATCAAAGTTTACCATCAATGACAACAAATTGTCTTCCTTCTCCTACGACAACAATTTGGCCATCTGGTACAAACGCAATCACTAACACAATCACCACGACCGACAATTCATCATCATTATTTGACTATATTGAAAAGCAACAACAACAAAATATTAGTAATTCATCGCTTAACCATGATAATAATAATTCTCGATCTCAATCTCCCTCGTTCAACGAATTTGATTCTTCCTTTAAATTTAATAATCATGACTCTTATAATTCACATTACGATTTTAATATTAATGCACTACAAAATCTTGGTTCTAATATTATTGCTACAACTACAACAACTTCTGTTTTAACCGATCCTCTTTTAAAATCTTTAGTTACTCATTCTCGACACTCTTCTCGACATCCTTCTCCTTCTTTGTCACTTTCTCCATCTTCGTCTTGTTCAAATAAAAATTATTTAGACGATGATGGTATTGTTGTTCGTAATGGCAATAATGACAATGATAATGGTGACGATGTTCACGGAGTCGATTTACATGATGAGAATGACGATAATGCAAATAATATTAATCATATCGGTAGTAATAATATTAATAACAATGATCTCGATAATAATGACGACAATATCAACCATCACAATAAAGATAATTATCATGATGATAATGTCAACATAGTTAATAACGATAACAACAATGATGATATTAACATTAACGAAGATGATGATGACGAAAAAAATTATCGGAAAATTTTTATTATCAAGAAAGAGAATAATAATAGTTACGAAAATGAGGACGATGATGATGATAGTTGTTGGTATTAAATATTTGAACTATGTAAAAATAAAAAGTATTTTGTAAATAACAGTTTATTTTATATTTTGTAAATTTTGTTTTTTGCATTTATATGATTACAAAATTATTTGCTTAATAAAATTGCAATTGACAATAAATACAAAGAAACCCATTTCTCTTTACTCAACTACTTCGCTCATCGCCATTTAACACTAATATAAAGATGAACTATGCAATGTCTTTCCTTATTTGTATTTCTCGAGTCGTGATCATAGCATATTGCCAAAGGCCAGAAATTTTTCTTATATATGTAATTTCTATTTGTAATAATACATACATGTATGTCTCAATCATTTGTTATCCAAACAAACAACCATTTCAATTAATAACCATTATTTTCAATAGAAACTTTAAACCAATAAATAACATCAGTGACGAAAGTCACGGTCATAAATCATATTTATAGTGGAGTCATGAAAATGATTTAACGTAGAAGGCTAAATAATAAATATTATTATTACTTAACTCACAACAGATCCAATTGAAAATGTCAATTTTGAATTCATAGGTAAGAATCTAATAATTTTATCTACTACATTCATTGGATCTTCTTTTGTTCGTAAGTTAAGTTTGTCTTTATTAGGTCTACTGCTTGAGATTTTGATATAAGAAAATTTTACGTATTTTAATAAGTGTTTATTATTTATTAGGGATTATGTACTGACTGTATCAACGTCCATAATGAGGAGATATACCAACAATTTTAAAAGTATATACTCGAGGTAAATAATATGGATGGACATTAATTTTTTGGGTGCAATGAATAAAAATTAAAACATTTACTTTTCCTGGTGACGGTGAAGGGGATTAAAACGGGAGATACGTTGTTTCATCTGAATCATATATACGACATAAGAAAGAAATGAATGATCCTTAATATTATTATCAGTAATCGATTAATTCATTGATGTTATTATTTTACAGTAAAAATTTATTACAATGACACTATCAGTAATTCCGATTAACCCCTGGACAATACTTTACCAACCCAAATTTGTTCATCGTTCCTAGTTATCATTAACTTGGGGAATAAAAGATGGTATCAATAAGTAGTAATACATGCAAATTAATGAATAAATAAAAGAACAATGATATTAGTAATTCGATCTTTATCTCCTCATGGTAGTTTAAAAAGATGCAATTAATCTTATTAACAAATTAGAAAAAAAATTTTTTTTTTTTTTTGACAGTCACCTTTCTTTTTGTCAGCCCTATATATATATATATATATATATATATATATATACTAAAAAAGAATAGAATTCTACAACAAATGATTTTTTTGAGAAAATCACTTCATTACATTAAAACTAGAGAGACCTATTCTATCGACAAATGAAGCTATTTTTTAAAAGGTAGGAAAGAAAATGACTTCTATACTTTTTAAAATTTTGCGCAAAATTTAGGAGGTCTTTAGACTGAGCCAACTATATCTTTTTTGTATCATAAGACCCAAATACAACTTCTACTTCATAGTTGTAAGTATCTTTGATATGTTTTGCATTAACAACACATTTTACGCAAATTTTGAAACAAATATCTCGTAAGATCAAGCAATCATGTTCCTAATAACTATTATTCGTATCACCAAGGTTGGATATACAGTACTTTGTAGCTTGAGGACCGACTAAAACTGGATATGGCTCAGGAAACTGTTTTAATATTATTAGAAATTGAATTGAAATAATAGAACAGAATGCGAATAGAAAATATAAAGTAAATAAAGAATGCCATTATTTTCGTATTTAATACATTTCCTAAGGACTTTTCTTTTTTTTTTTTTACTTGCTTGTCAATAATTTGTCTTATTTTTTTTTTTTTTTTTTGAAAAAATATTTTATACATCAACTAGTAAAGGTAGAAGAATACTCATTTCACGTTAGAAAATACAGCATTATCTTTAAATTAATCACCCAATTTATATAATTAACAAACTAATAATAATAAAATCCTCCAAATTGTTAATGATTTCGTTCATAAAACAGTAAATGAAAATAAATTTTGGTATGTAAAAAAAAACATCTTTTTTTTATATGAAAAACATAATAAAACGAGTAAAACGTTACTTATTGGTTTAAAAAGAGATCTACATTTTAAAAAAATTTTTTTTTTTTTGATATTTTTTATAAAAAAAGTAAGTGAAATTTTTCTATATATAAAAAAAATTTAATCGTAATAAAGGTGAATAAAAAAATAATAACAATAATAATAATAGTAAAAGGAGATGGGTCGTGTTATTCGCTCACAAAGAAAAGGACCAGGAGGTATTTTCAAATCTCATACTAGACTTCGCAAAGGAGCCGCAAAGTTAAGATCGTTAGATTATGCTGAACGTAATGGATACATTAGAGGCATAGTAAAAGAAATTATTCATGATCCAGGTCGTGGTGCACCTCTTGCAAAAGTTCAATTTCGTGATCCATACCGGTATTACACTTTATAATATCATGATCAATTAAGCAATAATGAAATATTAATTAATTAATAATAATAATTTATTGTTGTCATTCTTTTTAGGTATAAACTTCGATTACAAACTTTTATTGCAACTGAAGGATTACATACAGGTCAATTTATATATTGTGGTAAAAAAGCATCATTAACAGTTGGCAATGTGTTACCATTGAATTCAATGCCAGAAGGTACAATTATAAGCAATGTTGAAGAAAAAATTGGAGATCGTGGTGCATTGGCTAGAACATCAGGGAATTATGCCACAATTATTGGTCATAATCATGATGAAGGCAAGACTCGTATCAAGTTGCCATCAGGAGCAAAAAAAGTGGTGAACTCATCTGCTCGTGCAACCATCGGTATTGTAGCAGGTGGAGGACGTATTGATAAACCAATGCTTAAAGCCGGTCGAGCCTTCCATAAATATAGAGTTAAGAGAAATAGTTGGCCTAAAACTCGTGGTGTTGCTATGAATCCTGTTGACCATCCTCATGGTGGTGGTAATCATCAACATATTGGACACGCTTCTACCGTTTCTAGAGAAAGTGTTCCTGGTCAAAAGGTAATGTGTTTATTGTGTGTGATAGATGATAAATGTTTAATAATATTTTACAATTTAATAAAAATTAATTTTCTTTTGGCAGGTTGGTTTGATTGCAGCCAGAAGAAGTGGTTTGCTTCGTGGTACAAATAGGGTTAAGGGTGCTTAAAAAATTTATTTTTATTAAAAAGCATTTTCTTTATTTTTTATTTAAATAAATTATTAAAATTGAAATTAAATGTATATATATAAAAATAACCTTAAGCATAATTCCTAGTCCATTCTTGAGCTGTTTATTAATTTAATATTAAAAAAAATCAATCGTGATTCTATTTTATTAATAGTTCATTAGTAAGTTTACCGATTGAAATTGCTGCTGTTTCATTTTCCCTCCAATGTAGTCTGACATCCATATCAAATTGTTGTTCAGGATTTGGAGAAGATAAAAGTGCTTGCACAGAAATAAGCACTGTACGAACTGTAAAGCTGGTGTCCATTTGTCTTAAACAAAAAAATAATGAATATTATGAAAAATTTAAAATATAAAACAAATGCCTCTTAAAATTTCCAACCAAACTCTTCGTTTTTATTAATATTTGGATGATATATTTTAGTTAGAAAACGAACTTTAGGTGGTTCCCACAATGGATATCCTCCGGGATGAAAAAGTTTCAAATTGAAAATACCACCTATTAAAAACAATTCTTTTTTTCAGATAAATATATTATTTGTATATGTCTTTATTCACTATTTAATGCTATAAACCTTCAAATGGTGATTGAATTGGACCGGTCATAAGAGCATCAAAGTATCGAAGGTTTTCTTCACGTGGAATTGCATTTATACCAGGAGCCGTATTAACTGTTCAATTCCCTAAAAATATTAACCATAATAAAAGATATATTGCTTCTATCACGTAGTTACTAAGCACTAATAAGTTATTACTGTATGAGAATTTATTCTTTTTGGTAAAGAAGACATTGGTCGTAAAATTTTTATTCTCAAAAAAGTAATTAGTTTTCTTCTTCTTTATAGACTAGTGCTAGTTATATATAATAATTTTCGATTTCACGTTTTTTTCATTCAAAAAAAAAGTGTAATGTAATAATTAATTAATTGGGCAAAAAAAAAAGTGGAATCAAAGAGAAAAAGCCCGTGTAAAAACAATCAAGAAATACGATATATTATTTATGAAACGAGCTGAAAAGCATGTGTGCGCAATTATTACATAATTTTTTTAATTAATTAATATTTTTTGTGTAGTCTTTTTACAGATGAAAAACAGATGAATATCATTAAAAATAAATTTTCTATTGGATTCTTTCACATTAGAATTTTTATAAATAGAGGAAATGGAACTGAGTCATCAATTCCTCTCGCAATATATGACAAAAAATTTTTTTTTGCATATTCAAGAAGTTAATGTATTGGTTCCACCACATTTCAAAAGAGAAGAACTAAATTTTCAGCTCAATCAGGTTGTTTCGCAACAATCAAGCTACAGTGTAGATCATCTGTACTCAAAAGTTAAAAATTATGTTATCCGTTGGATTTTGATCTAAAAAAAAATTTGTCTTCAGATTTTTTAAATTGAAATGCAATAATAATTTTCGTGTTACAACATTTATGAATTAAATGATAATAATTTTCTTTTGATGTAAAAACCCCAAACTTGTAATTTCTTTTGGAATCCATTCTAATAAAACAAATAAATTTAATAAATATAAAATTTACCCAAAATGCTTTTAATAGATCAAATGGCATTTCTGCTATATACAAGTTTGTATTCCATTCTTTTTAAATTGAAACTACCTATCAGAAGATTCAGAGGAAGTGCTAGGGGTGAGTCTTTGACTAGAAGAAATGTGCCTGGCTCTTTGCATTTCCTTCCTTATTATTATTAATGATGCATGTTGAAATTAATAGTAAATTGTTAATTTATACCTTTTGTATATAGATGATTTACAATGTCTTCTTTTTTTCTTATTCTTGTTAAAATTATAAAATTAATAAATAATATCATGAATATACATGCAACCCAAATTGGTTTGGTGATTTCGATGGTCAAAATTATTCCAATTTTGATGTAGAAAGTAGAAATTAATTATGGCACACACTATTAAAAACATAAGTGTCAAAGTACTTTGGGCTGCATGTATAATCATGAAATATTAATTTATAAATGAATTCCCTCATCACTTGTGTGTAACAGTTTATGAAGTTTTATGTTGTGTGTGAAAATTGAAATTATGTGAAATTGAAATATTATTGTTATGGAGTGGGGTGAAATTCTGATTGGCTAATTTGAATTTCACGTATATAAATTTGAATTTCACATATGTGAATGCGAATTCACATAATTTCATTTTCACGTACAACAGATACAAATAAATTCCATGCAAAATTTTATATAGTAAAAATAAATAAATAAACAGTTC